TGCTTTCCCAGATAATTTGATAGTGGAACAAATTCTGCGGGACCGACATCTCAGATAGGACGGATGCTTTCCACTTCCTAAAAACCTCTGGTGCCCTAATAGTTTGTGTTATTTATTTATTAGACTGAGCTCAAAACAGAGCCTAGTAATGTGAGCTCTGTTAAGATTTAAAAAAAAAAAAAAAAAAAAAAAAAAAATTTGGTTTTGCTCTGTTTGAACTCTTACTGTCAGTTCATTTGGTTTGAATAATATGCATGATATACTCGTAGATTTTGCTGTGGAAAATCCCTTTAATAAGGAAAAACATATGAGACCTTGAAATATGCAGAGGGTTTTTTGCAAACACCAGAGTACAGAAAGCCTTGAACGCTTACCAAAGAGGGTGATGCGTGTCTATTCCATCTCCTAAAAACACTTCCTCCTTCAGATTTACAGTTACTAAGAACAGAGCAATTTTGATCAAAAGAAGCAGTAGCAGCTGTAAGGGAGAAGTGTTCAATTCTGATTGCTTCATCTGGAATGAAGGGGGTAGTGGCACAACTTTATTATACCAGATGCAGTAGAGGGCTTTATTTCATTTAATCTGGAAAACAGAGGAATTTGTCACAAACAAAAGATGAAAATAATCTTGTTCTTCTTGCCACTACCTAGGCATGATGGTTATTGCCTGGGTCTTCATAAGAAGTTGGAGATTATGATGCCTATTTACTTTCTCCTGCATAATTGTTGCAATACCAGAGGGCTGGTATTTTGCTTCACTATAAAGACATGCTGAAAAGTTATTTTTGTTTGGCATTTGCTAGAATGCATTTGTTTTGGGAATGTGTGCTTCTGGGATTCATGGTGGGCTTGAAGTTTCAACTGTACATCATAGTATGCTACTTGTTACTTGGTACAGGGTTTATTAACACTTATTCTAAGAACCTTCTTTGACTGGCAGTATACGCTGATAACACAAAATGGGCTCAGATAGAATTATTATTATTTTTTTTTTTTTTACTCCTATTCCTTTCAGTGGTAGTACAAAGGATTATTTAACCTGGTAAATGTATTACCAACTTATCAGTATTATCTTTGTTTGAACTCAGTTTTGGGGGTTGTATATTCCATAACTTTATTTATGCCATTAATTCAACAACATGGCTCTGTGTGAGGTTGAGCAGGAGCTAAGTTCAAAGTTAACAGAAAAGATTTATCCATCATCTACTTGTTCGACAAATAGTTCTTAAAGGCCACTGTTTCTGACATTGATATAATAAAACCTCATAGTACAAAGGGTAATAGCCATACAGAATAGAGACAGGAGAAACTCAAGCCCAGTATTTCTAGGTTAGACAAAGTTAGAAATTGCATTTTCTTGAAAATAGGAAAAACAAAACACAAGTTATTCACTGTTTTTTCTCTCAAGGGAAAACAACTTATTTTCAACGGATTGGCAGGTTCATTAACACAAACACAATGCGGCCAGGAAAATGGAAGATCATCCAGATCATCTCCCTTCAGTACTGTCCAGTGTCACAACACCAGGTTGCCCCTATTTCAAATAATGAGTATACAGGACCATTACTTCTAAGTGAGATACAAAAATTGTGTGTGCTCAGTCTACATATAAACAAGAGTGAGTGTGCCATACAAAACAAATGTGACTGACAAATAAGAAACCTTTCTGCTCAGATTTCATGAAGATGAATTTGTAACAGCCATCAATGGATCTCAGGCAGAAGCAATTGCATAATGCTAGGAAAAACGAAGAGTGATACAGCTTTTGGCAGACAAGAATTCTATGACAGTTTGAGATGCTCCTGAATTCAGCTTTGTTGCCCATCACTACAAAAATTAAGCTCTGCCACCCTTAAGTAGAAAGTCCCTTAGTACATAGTACTCATTTCTATCACACAGTATCTATCCTATATTCTTCTGTCATGACTATTAGACCAAAAATCAGCATTAGTTACAGAAATCAAAGGTAAACCACAAGTAAAAATCTCTTAAAAATACACAATATCTATTTGCACATATACTTGCAAAACATACCTAGACAAATTTTTTTCTAGCATTGTTTTCATATTTTCATTATCAAGAAAAATCAGTGCAAGACTTACAGTTTGCCTGGAATCCCACTTACTATTATGGCTAATTATATGACACTTCATGCTTTGTATCTTCATAATATTTACAACCTCCCCGCTTTCCCTAGTTCAATGGCCACATCTACTTTCTCCATTACCTTCATGGGAAGCCAAAGCCCATAAGGTCTACATTACTAATGCTCCAAATTGTGCATTACAATTTTAAATATTAGTGTTGACTGTTTCAGTCACTAGAGCAGGCGGTGAGCATAAGCATAAAATCACCGCTGAAATCCTCATGTTCTGTTAGGTAGGACAAATTAAAGTCATGCTTTTGCAGCATTAAACCAAAAAGTTAGAACTATGAAATCCTGCTATGGACTGAAACACCTGTCCTGTAAAAGATAAAAAGCATCAGAAGTCTAACTATAATTTAATACAATTTTTTTCTTTTTTTGCGTGAAAATCATCACTGCTTCTGCTTATCTGTGAACCAGCTTTTTCTATACGCTGATTTCATTCACGTTAATATATATTTTTGCTATATTTAAATGCATTTGTTATGGACGCAGTTCCCGGTTCTGGAAAGCACTTCCTACTAAGAATAGGAAGTTTTGAACAGCAGTCACACCTTTCCCTGAATCATGGCCATTCCAAGCAGTGGAAGACTACAGCATTCATAGAATCAGAGTTGCTCAGGTTGGAAGAGACCTTAAAGATTGTCAAGTCCAACTACAACTTCACCATACTACTGTAATTCCAACAACCCTCCACTAAATCACATCCCTGAGCACCACATCCAAATGGTTCTTAAATACATCCAGTGACGGCAATTCAGTCACCTCCCTGAGGAGCCCATTCCAGTGCTTCACAACCCTTTCTGTAAAGAAGCGTTTCCTGATATCCAACCTAAACTTACCCTGGCACAACTTGAGGCCATTTCCCCATTTCGTCCTGTCACCAGTGAGAAGAGACCAACCCTGCTCTCACTGTAAGCACCTTTCAGATATTAGAAAAGAGCAATAATGTCTCTCCTCAGCCTCCTCTTCCCAGACTAAACAGCCCCAGTTCCTTCAGTCTCACCTCATAGGCCACATTCTCCAAGCCCTTCACAAGCCCTGTTGGCCTCCTTTGGATCTGCTCCAGCACCTCCATGTTCTGTCTGTACTGAGGTGCCCAAAACTGAACACAGTTCTTGAGGTGAGGCCTCACCAGTGCCGAGTACAGGGGCAGGATGATTTCCTTAGTCCTGCTCACCACACCAATCCTGATCCAAGCCAGGATACCATTGGCCTTCTTAGCCACCTGGGCACACTGCTGGCTCATATTCATCCGACTCTCTATCAGTACACCAAGGTCCCTTTCCATTAAGGAGCTTTCCAGCCACTCCTCCCCAAGACTGTAGAGTTGCCTGGAGCTGTTGTGACCAAAAATGCAGGACCCAACACTTGGCCCTACTGAAATTCATGTGGTTTACCTTGGCCCACCGATCCAGTCCATCCAGGTCCCTCTGTAGTGCCTTTGTCCCCACTGGCAGATCAACACCCCCTCCCGATTTGGGAATTGTGCTAGAAGCTCACGTGTTAAAGAGAAACGGAGAGTGCCTTAAAGAGAAACCTACCTAATTTGATTCCAAAAATTCCTCTCTTGCTTCACACCCTCTGTCCTTCGTTTTCTAGGCTATCAGTCTGCTTTTATACAACTGGTGTCAGAGGACAGCGATGTTAGCAGGGCATCTTCCACGGGCTGCTCAGAGCCTGTGATGTAAAACCACAGGATTATCAAATACTGAGTGCATCCACAGCGCCACCTGCTGTGGATGAGGGGCAATAGACATTTGCTTCCCAAGTGTGTATATCCAAGTAAGAGTTTTCCTTGTGAATGTATCAACAATACCCATATGAGCAAGCGATTGAAACAGCCTACCTCTTATGGGCCTGTCCAACTTCAACGATTTTACCATTCCATGAACTAACTGCCAAAGCAGAGGTATGCAAATAATTACTATTCCCACACCCCCCTTCCTCCCCCGCCTAAGCATCAGTGCTATAAAGCCTGTTCTAAATTTTAAATACAAGATGTTTGTTCCTTTTCTCAGACTATTGTGATTAATAAAGATTTTGAAACCAAAATCTAGTAAACAGCTGATGATACACAAGCAAACACCATGAGAAAAGGCCGCATTACATATCTTTCACACACTCTTGGAGAAAATTCTGCTGCATACCACTTAAACGCAAACTGTACTCCAGGAAAGGAAAACTTTAATTCTAATCTCTGGCTATTCTGCCTCAGGCTTAGCTACCAGTTTCACGAGTAAACAGAGAACCTTCAAGAAAAATAATCATGCTGAGGACAAATTTGCTTTCCACTTTCATTCCTGTTGAGGACCTAAATAAACTCAGTGAAGATGACCCATTACTGAATCAGAAAAAACAGTGACTGCTTATGTCCTCTGAAAAGAGGAAAGCTAGGTAGAGCATCAGGCAAAAGGTAAGCCCAGACTAGTGATGAGAAGAGCAGTCTTTGCCTAGGAATGATTCCAGAAGAGGCTCACCCAAGTGCTGTGATGTAGAATTCCCCCATTTCATTAGCTGTATCACTCAATGAAAATAAGGAAGTGGAACTGATTGACGTTATGAGAGAGAATAATAGAGTGAGATGAAATTTCCAGCCATTCTACAAGCAGCAGGAAGTAGCTGATGATGAACTACTTTAAGCACCCACAAAAACCTGGAAGCAGCAACTGTGGACTTGTTCAGAATTTGCCAACTGACACACTCACTGATCTTGAATGTATGGTCAGCAGGCTGGTGCCTCAGTGCAAACACTGACTTGTTGCTGCTTCTCCATAAAAAAGTGTAATAGAGTAATATATGACAGTAATCCAAAATTAACTCCTGCTCAGATAACCAGTATTCTATCCACTCACCTCTCATTTGCACTTCATTTTCACTGAGAGTAGAATAAGCATACACAATTCTTCAGTCTCCTGCTCATGAATAAATTTCATTCTCTGAAAACATAAAAATGAGAATGAGTAATGGGAAACCCGTTCAGCAAATTTGCCTTGTATCCTACAAGGCTGCTTTCACAGCTGCTTTGGGAAGAGTAGTCTGTCCTTCCCTTTAGGCCATGAGAAAAACACCAATTCATCTAACTCAACTTTTCTCAAGCCCAAAAAGACACATTAACAATTCTCAGAGTATCAGCAACAGCAGCTTGCTAGTGATAGTGGGAGGAACTAACTGCCCTACCTACTGAGGAGCACATCCAGCAAATCACTCATGGTCATAGCAGACATTAAAGGTTTACAGACACACTTGTTCACCCCTCCCAGCAGTAAGATCATGCTGCACGGAAGTCTGGAGAACAGTGTGGCGTGGATGCATTAAGAGCATGCAGGAACACAACAGAGGCTGTCTTGCTACCGTGGTACTCATCAGTACATTCATACTAGCCTACTGTGCAAGGAGCAACATCATGGCTGCACACCAAGGAGGCAAACAAAGACAAAAAAAAATATGCACTTCTTGTTCAAGTTGCATGTGTATTTCTGCTTAAATTAATCTAGGAAGATTAATATATATGTAAAACATATACACATATAATAAATATATATAATATATATATTTTTAGCACATCTTATCTTTCTGAAGATATTTAAACATTTCCAAAGCAAGATTTTGGTACTGATGATCTTGGTTTGTGCTTTCTTACGCAGCTTCACAGCTAGAACACTTACAAAAAAGAAAGATGGGGAAAAATACCTAAAAACCTAGACCCTAAGTTACAGTTACAGGAAAACACTATTTCTTAATTATATCTGTTCAAATCCTTGATTAGTTTCAGGTGGGTTTCTATCTTCTTCACATTCACTTTCAACAGATATCTAGCAAAATGTTTAATGGGAGACAGTCACTGAAGCAAAGATTTGTAAAAAAATGGGTACAGAAAATGTGCCTAATGTGTTTTAAAGTGGTAGTCTCAGATGCTTGGGGTGAAAAATAGGTTTTACGTTTTTTTCTGAATGCCACTGAAGTCAGTGGAAGTCATTATGGAGGGTCCAAAGTCAAACTACAGGAATGCCATAGGTGATTCACACTGCTACCGATTTGTATCCTCGTAATGCTTTGGTGCCTCGTTTGTGAGCCATGGACACTTTGAGTAAGGGATCAAAGACAAAGAACAAAAAAAGCGGTTCCCCCCAACTAGTGAAAAATACTCTCCATTTAAAGTATATTTTGATACTTTTTACAAATTGCTTCTGAACAAGCTACAAGCCAAACTATTCGGCAGATGCTGTTTGGTGAATACTGCTGAATAATGAATACATTCTAGAAGATTGCAAGCAGGAAGGCAGAGAACACACCAGATAATTTTTTCCTCATGCCTTTTTTTAAAATCTATCTCTCCTCAGTAAATACGTCAGGGGCAAGCTGCCATGGGTGGTGTTGATTTATTTGATTAATAAGTGTCCCTTCACTTACTAAACAACCAGTAAAATAAAGTTTCCTGCAATAAAAGTATTTTATGCGTTATAGTAAATTAAATTGAATATTTTAATGCCTCAAACAATGATGTATTCTTAATGATCATGTTCCCATCACATAGCTTTACTATAAGTAGTTGCATCTTCAAGCAATTTCTAAAATAAAATGAGATACAGAATTATAAGTTGCTGCAGTTGGTAAGAAAAAAAACATCTGTTCCTTTCTTACTTGGTCAGTTCCCTTATGGCTTCAAGCAGGACACAGGGCATACTATGTATCACCTAAGCCTGATACAGAAGCAAAGCTACAAATGTGGTGCTATAGGATATTTTAGCATCAGAAGTACCACAGGTTTATTATCAACCAAACTTAGTAGTCATCTCAAAATCTGCCGTGTTAAAGTATACTTTCAATAAAAGTAAACTGAGATATCAGAGATGAGATGAAAGACACCATTTTTAAACCAGAACATTTTAAAGGAGGACACACTTTTGTAGAAATGAATATACTACACATTACAGGCATACCATACAGAAATGTGTTTCTACAACATATGGAAAGTATCTGAATCAGTTAGACAATGACCTTCATAAATCACTTCTTGTTCCAACTTTAAATTATGTCTTGTTCTCTCTCATGGGATATTCACTATATCTCATACAAACTCACAGTTGTGTATGCACAGTATTCCTACCTTTATAGAGAATTATATCATATCAACACAGAGAGGGTATGTAAAACAAAGAATAAACACATTTTTATGAGACTCTGACCAGATGAACCCACATACCTCACTTTTTATCACTTCCCTTTGGCTTAAGGGAATATTCTTTTTTGTTGTATGTGATTTATTAAATGGACTAACCAAAACTTTGGGGGATTCCTCTTCAAACTTTATCAGCAGAGCACTGAAATGCTCTGTGGGTGGCAATGGCCAAGCCAGTGCCACACAGGAGAATAACGTGGGATGAAAATCCCATTTCCCTACTCTCAAGTACATGAAGGCTCTTCATGGTTCATTCAAGCCAAAATTCAACTACCTATTAAAAAAATGAAGATTTGTGGGATTTTGTGCAAAAGTGTTACAACTGAGTGAAGACTATTGCTTGTGGTTGACTTACCTTTCCCTTCCTGTCACAGCTGTAGTTTGAGCAAACGTTGTCTATAGTATTGTTCTTTTGTTTTGCCTATAACAAAAAATATTCTTTTAAAAATAATACAGAAATATAGTACGTAACTGAATGCTCTAAAATTTTATCCCCTGCTTTTAGCAAATGTCCACCTGTTGATCCTATTCACGTAGTCTCAAATGAGCACCTCATATCAACACAACCTTCCTAGAGATTTTATATAATAACAATGCAGCTTTACTTACCTGTTCAGCATATTCTATTTCTTCTCTAGAGCTTTCTAATCCATAAAAACTGACAGAGGAAACTTATAGTCATCTGAGTCAATGATACAGCATTCAATACTTAGAAATATCTCCAAATCCAAAGGTTAGTACTAGCCCTAGAGACAATTAGCTGCACCCAGATGCTTTAATTCAACAGCTGTTAAAAAACGTTTTCATGAAGTGTGTATGCAAAGCTCTACCTGACCACTGCTTTTGCAAAGATAGATGCAAGAATACAATACTTCATAGACATGATTAATACTGTAACTGAAATATCTGTATCATATTTTTTTTTCCTTTACTTCTGAGGTTGGAAGGAACCTCTGGAGATCAACTAGTCCAACCTCTCTGTTCAAGCATGGTTCCCTGGAGCACATCAACCAAGACTGTGTTCAGGCTGCGTTTGAAGACCCCCATTGAAGGAGATTCCACAGCCTCTCTAGGCAACCTCTTCAGTGCTGTTACCATCACAGTAACGAAGTTTTTACTCCTCCAGACAGAACTTCTCTGTGTTTCAGCTTGGGCCTGTTTCCTCTTGCCTCTTCAGTGTGCACCACTGAGAACCCTAACCCTAGCCCCAACCTCTTGACTACCTCCCTTCAGATACACATTGAAGAGATTCCCCGAGAACCTTCTTCAAGCTGTACAGGCCCAGGTCTGTCAGTATTTCCTCCTGGCAGAGATGCTACAGTCCTTTAATTGTTTTAGCTGCCCTTAACTGGACTCTCTCCAGCATGTCCATTCCATGGGAAGCCCAGAACTGTACACGGTACTGCAGGTGAATGTTCTTCTTCACCAGGGTTGAGTAGAGTGAGAGGATCATCTCCCTCAACATGAGGGCAATGCTCTAATACAACACTCTAATGCAACCCAGATACCAATGGCCTTCTTGGCCACAAAGACGCATGGCTGTCTCATGGTAAACACACTGCCCATCATGATATGAGGACAGCATAGGAGACAGTATAAAAAACTTTGCTGAAGTCAGGTAGACAACATCTACTGCTCTCTACTGCTGTTATCCATGCAACCAGTTGTCCCATCACAGAAAGGACTTAGATTAGTTCAGCATGATTTTCCTTTGATAAATCTGTGCTGACTACTATTGATCATCTCATCTTCCACGTGCTTAGAGATGACCTCCAGATAACTGTTCCACCTCCCTTTCCAGGGACTGAGATGAGGCTGACTGGCCTGTAGTCTCAAGTGTCTTCCCACTTGCCCTTTGATGACTAGGGTCACATTTGCTTTCTTCCAAACCTCAGGCATGTCTCCTGACTGCCATTACTTTCTAAAGATGATAGAGAGCGGCCTGGCAATGTAGTTCACCAGTTATCTCAGCACTCAAGGATGCATCATATCAGGGCCTGTGGACTTACGGATGTCAGAGTACCGGAATTATATCTAACCAATCCTTCTTAACCAAGGGAAACTCTTCCTTTCTCCAGAATTTCTTACTAGTCTCTTGGGTCAGGGATTCCTGAGGGCTGGCCTTGGAGGTGAAAACATTCAGTAAGAATATAAGTCTTTGAAAAGGTGCTGGAACTATTACTACTACTGCAGTTATTTATGAACTGAACTTGTTCTACAATATGCTGACACATGATAAACACACAATGTTAAAACTCTCGGAAGACAATCATGCTTCAGCAGAAATTATATATCCATCTGGATAGTTCAGTTATATGTGGTAAAATAAACATTCTACAGCTGTTTGTTTATTTTATTGACCAGGTTTTGAATTGAATTTTAATCTGAAATTGTTAGTAGCTGTAAGAACACAGAGGGATGGCAATGAGATGTCAGTCTGCACTCTAGAGATTATTTTGAGACCAAACATTTTCATAAAACAGATTTCATCCTTCCTCTCAAACGATATTCCTAGGCAATATTAAGAATATCAAACCCCAAATGAAAAGAAATTGTGATACACAGTTTTAAATCAAGATGTAGTATGGTTGTACAGTATATAGGTAAAGCACATCCACATTGTAATAAAAACAAATGACTAAAGCACAATTATAGACCGCAGGTAGCTGTGAAGAGAAAGAAGATACCATCAGTGCTATTTTTCAGTGGAGAGAAAACACTTTCAAGAGGATATCTATCTGTCAAACTTCACTGCCAGTTAACAATTCATCTTCCCCTATGCTATATAAAAAAGTGGTAGAATTTGTCTCTTCAGAAATGCAGATAAAACTCTTTCAGCCTTGTTAACAACTTACACCATAGCGAACGAGCTGAAGCTTCGCACAGATTACCTTTAGCTTTGCACAGATGAACTTTTCAGTAACATCACATTACTTTTGTAACGCGTTTAAGTTAGTGGAACTAGAAAACACTTATCCAAGATTCATCATGATTAAATAAAGCATTTCTAACATTATGACATCAGCTTTCCCTCACTGAGACTCGTCATATGAATGCTGTCAAATTAATCACTTATTCTTGGAATGCCTCATTTGTATAATTGACTTCTCACATATGTGCCAGAACAACTAGATCAGGACTATCTCCACCGGTGTCTACGCAGCATTCACCAGACTTTCTCTCTGAAAGTGGAGGGATGAGAAAAATTCCTGAACGTAGCAACTAGTTAAATCCTTTTACCACACACAGTAAAGAGGCCAGACTAACAACTCCATAGCCAACAAAGGAAAGAACTTCCTATAAGCCATAATCCAAACACCAAATTTTTGGGGAATTTGAGGGAAGGAAAGCGCCATCCCACTTAAAATGCATGTTTTGACCATACACAGAAGGAGATATTTATTGTGTCACAACCAGACAAACAAACCATTTTTTAAAATTATGAGACACTGAAAAATACAAAGTTTCAGAATTTGGGCAAGTTCCAGTTTTCCCTGTTTGAAAATTACACTCTTATTTTCATTCCTTTTTTTGCTCCCTTTCTCCTATTTCAAAGGACAAAGAGTACTGGAAATAAAAGCTTCCTATGCAAATAAGTCCTCAATGGGCAAAAGAGGATATTTCCAAAAAAATGCATAATAGTTTAGGGATATGTGATATGAATGGAAGAGTCATGCCTCATGCAAATATTTTGTTTGTATTTTACCTGCCTACGCTTAACCTTTCAGAACATATTTACTGACATAAATAGTAGCATTTCAGGTCTGAACAGCTGCTAATCAACTACAGCATCATTTAAATCCTGGTAACCATTTGGAAACTCAGCATCTTTGAAAAAAAAAAAAAAGCTTCTGTTTGTATGCTTAGGGCCTAATATCAAGTGTGCAATCTATTAATGTTTCGGCATGGAAAAAAATCAGAACATATAACCAGCCACTCAGCTTGTAAATCTGTCAGTTTTTTTTTCCCCTCAAGAGTCACAGATGGCTCACATGACCAAAACCAACTCTGCAGCCTGTACCTAAGCGGGTAGGCCTAAGCAGGCATGTCCCACTCACAGCCCAACCCAGCTCTCCCCGCAGCTGCCCCCTGCCCCACTGAGCAGCCTGGCCCAGCCCTTCTGCTCAGCATCAATCAAATCTTGGTGCGTGCCCTTGGCACTGTCTAGGTTGGAACCAGGGCACAAGGAGGGCACAGAGCAATGCTAACTCAAGTTATGACAAATACATTTATGCATTGTGATTGATTGGCTAAACACAGTCTCCATGAACAACAAAAAACATGCAGCCATGCTTTCTGTTGCGATAACGGAATTTGAGAATGGGTTTTAAGGTTAAGGCCAAAAAAATCATAAATATTTTGCTACTTTTATGACTCCAGTTGACATAAATAAGTTACCTGCTTATTCTTGCATGGAATGTACACAGTTGCAGATACTCAAAGAAAAATGCAAACATACTTCTTTCCCAGACTTGTGTAAGCTCTCTCTTAACAGAGAGAGCTATCCCTCACCTCACAGTCACACCTTACATCATCACTTCTGGCAGTAGATACAGTTGCAAACTACAGTTTTCAAAACTGAATTACAGGAGGAGTAAGATTTCATCAAAAAAATATGACAAACACTTTGAGACCTCACTAAGAATTGGAGCCACTGCCATCAAACCAGAGCACCGTGTTAGCTTCAGAAAAATAAGGTCAAGTATCACACTGGTGTTACGGTTTTGTTACTTATAGAAATGAATTATATAATTATGTATTTTATATCCAGTCCAAGATGACTCCTCTTCAACCAGTGCAGCCCAGGCAAGCCAAAAGACTCATGGCCTAAGCTCTACAGTTGTCTTACAGACTCTAATGGCAGCTACGACATTTGGTATAACCAGAAGGATTTTAACCTGTAGACACAAGCTGTCCCTTCCTGCTGAGCATTAACCACTACCATTTCGGTGTCTCTGCCAGGCTAGAAAGGTCTGATAAGGAAAATGCTTCCTTAAACCATATATTCTCAGAGGTGATGCTATTGCCATTTAGATCTGTTTCTTTCTTCTAAATTAGCCAGTGATGTGCAATCTACAGAGCTAAAGGGACCAGTGACAAGTTTCAGACAATCAGTCACCTCCCCCCACTCCATATTAAAAACAAACAACCATTTTCCCTCCAATTTCAACAACACAAGAATATCAAGGGAGACATGTGAAAACTTAAAATGCCCTCACAGTCCATTGCCTCTTAAAATAAATGTGCAACATAATGCTTAACATTGCACATTCCAGAAATAACCTTCTTGCCCTTCTCATTCTGCCCTGCTTCACACTATTGACAAGAACCCTCATAAACCACCACTCAACAGCAGAGTGGTCTGGCAATTTTTAAAGTCCTGTAATAAAAACAAGAAAGTGTTGATAAATTTACTTGACA